GGCGGTCCTCTCCGAGAGCTGCCGTCGGACTGGGAATCTGTGAAGCTGCTGGTTCAACCCAGACCGGGGCTGTGCTACCGGGAGAAGTGACAGGAGGAGAAATCTCCTAGATGTGGCTGCGCTTCCTGACAGGAGTGCCTGGCACAGAGGCACCAGTCTGTCTGCAGGAGGTGGCCTTGGGGGCAGGTGGTGTGTTATTAGGTTACAAGCCGCACACATCACTCAGGTAAGGACAGTTCCTGACCCAGCCAGGTACCTTTGTGGGGGTAGCGGTCCTCCAAATCAGGGAACTGGCTTGCGGAGCTCCGTGAAGACATTAGGCTAAGTTAGAATTAGGTTTTTGAATTAGCTAAATAAGCTGAACGTGGAAGACTGTTTTGGCAGAGAAGTCATTATACATGCCGCGCATTTGCTCTTGGCAACCTGTTCAGCCAGTTCAGAAATAGTACTTCTGAAGTGGTTAAGAAATTGCACAAAGGCCCTGCTTCTGTCTCCATGTCTTCATTCCTCTGATGAAAGTTTTATCTTCAAAATTTGGGAAACTGTTTCAGAGGAACGCAGGCATTCCAATAGCTTTAGTTCTGTGCAGGAGTAGTAATGTGAGTTTATGTGGGATAGCTACCAGTGTCAGTGCATATTTTTCAGAAATGCGACTGTGTTTTCTCACTGAAAAATTCTATTTTGGCAGTTGGAAAAAACAACAGAAACTATGAAAGTGTATGAAAGTCATATAACAGCAGCAAAAACACCCAGTAGAAGAGCAGCAATTAAATGTGTGACAAATACGGTATTTTGAGTTAGTAAATACCAGAAGAGTGAATCTCCACTGAGGCATTTAACATTAAAGAGTTTTTAGTCTTTCAGCAGAAATGCAGACCTTGCACTAGAAGAGCGCTGATAACACCTCGTGACTGTAGCTGTGACCCTCTGCAGACCCAGCTGTCTAGCACCAGTTTCTTAAGTATGACTAAGTATGATTTTCTAAAATTAGATGAAGTATGATGATTAAAGACAGCCTATTGTTGTCTATTGATCTTCTGTTTCAGTACACTTCTTTCTGTGTACTTTCTGTTTACAAACAAGAAGTCTTACTTCATTTCTTTTTGTGTACTTTTTGCAGTTACCATCTTACATGGCCACCAGAAAAGTTTCATGACTATTATGCAACCCACATTTAAAACATTATTTTTAATGTTGTCTTGTAATCCCAGTTTATTGCTAAATAGAAAACTAATTAAAATAAGAAGGAAAAATACACAATCAATGTATGGAAGTTCTAGCGTCATCAGTATATCCATGTAACTCAACCCCCTGGTGCTCCACACTAGGCCCTTTTCACTCTATTGCATGTGTCTCCATTCTGGAGGAAAGGAAAAAAAAATCTACTTTATCAGTCTCTCTTTGCTTGAGAGTTTCTCCATGTGTCCTTGGTGTCTTTTTGAGATCAGGTGACCAGTGTTGTACGCAGTGTTCCCCATGAGGGCACGCTATTGATTTATATGATGTTATTTTAATACAATCTGCGTTCTGTACTATCTCCCGCAGTCTAGGTAAACCACATGTGTAAACCACATTTACACATTCGGTAGAGTTCGTTAAGCTACACACAGTGTTGAACAAGTCCTTTTTTTGTGTTCATAAAATTAATTTAAAAGTCTGTAAGATGAGAACCGAACACGGACACTACACAGATCTGAATGAGCAGCCTCCTAGCATCTGAAGGCCGCCTGTGCCCCTATCACAGCAGCCAGTGCTTGTCCTAGGGCCTTACACCCTCTGGTAGTAGAGCTCAGGTGTGCTACTTTGTATTTATTGCTACTTAATACCATCATTTGCTATTATGTAGCCCACTGTCTTCACTTTGAATCTCTCTGAAATTCTTGAAAGCCCTCCAGGACTGACTTAGACAACTTTGTATCAGGAACAGCTTTTACTATCTGACTACTTAAGTCTTTCGCTAAATGGCGGATAAGCATACTAAATGCTTATGCTTTAAGACTGCCTGTGTGAAAATCGTTTGAGAGACTACCCTTTGGTGCTTTCCCTTGCCGGGCGAGACCCTTGACAGCTCTGGCCCCCCTCCCAGGACTGGACTGTTTCTTCTGATACTCCTCTAGTTATCCTGGGTATTTTGGAAATGTGACAAATTATTCCAAATCTGTTACTGCTCTCTATTATTAGCGTGTTTTGTGCACTGTGGCTTCATATATGGAATATTCAGGCATATTCAGTTCAGTTAATCCAAACTATAAAACAAGATGCTTTTATTCTTGAATAAACGCATCCATGCACGGAATTATTCAGAAATAGCTGTTATGCTTTATGAATATTCCCTACCTTAATCAGGCTATCTTTCAGGCATAAACAGGCCTTTATGAATACTTTATAGAAGCATTTGCAAGGCCTGTAAATGCTGTGCTTCATTCCGTATGAAGCATAATCAGGCACAGCTTCTGGATGTTACAGGACTAGATGGTTGACGATAAAGTAAGAAAATTCTGTGAGCAATACAACCTTATTTTGTGTAATATATAAATAAATCAGTTGCATAAATTGTAATATATTTTGTCTGTATTTTATAAATAAAATACATAAATTGTATCCTGTGATTTACAGAGCTAAAAAATGTAGGTGATGAAAAAAATCTATAAAATAATGACACAAAGAAACGGACAAAGGGTTTAGGGGGTTCATTTTCTACCCAAAAGCAGATTGAAAAGTAACTGAAAAAGAGCCGGGGAGGAGACAGGCTGCAGCGGATGCCAGCCGTCACAGCTGCA